GAAGTTTTAATTCTAAATTTGACCGAACTTTTCCTTTGAACCAACTTTAGCTTAGCTGTGTTCATTTGGTGCATTTTTAGGATATTTGGGATGATCATTTATCCTAAAATGATATGATTTTAATGCATGAATATGTTATTTATCATTTTGCTTCCTTTCTTTTCCTTTAAATAACTTATTCAGCTTTTTTCTACAATAATTAATTAAACCCTTTTTCTTTCGGGTTTCTGCAGAATCCACTCTGCTCTCTTCATTTCTGAGCTTTTCTTCTAGTTTCTTATTGCGGGGTTCTGAGTGACTTCGTCCTCTACGAGGTGCACTCCAACCAGCAGCTCCTGCAGCATCCAGTCCATCATCCTTTGGATGGAAGGAACCTGCAGATGGACCGTTAGCTGCTTCTCTCTCCGTGCTCTTCTGATATCTGGCCGGCGTGGAGCTGCTCCTCCCTCTGTTAATACGGCCCCCCGTCCTTCCTCTGCCGTCTGATTGGTCGACCGGCTCCCCCTGAAGGCTCTGCTTCAACTCATAGCTCTCCTTGGACGGGCCGATGAGGTGGAGCCTGTCGTTCATCTCACAGACCAGAACCGAAGCCAAAGTGTTGTTGTTTTTCTTGATTTTTGATAAAAGTTCTTTTCCTTTGGAGCTGAGGTCCCTCAGTGGGACTTCCTGAGTGCGAAGGGACCTCTGCAGATCATTCAGGAAGTTCTGCAGTTTATTGACGGCCGTCCTGGAGCTTCCGACTTGACAAACGATGGTGGTGTTTTCCTCTTTTATCTCTATGCGGTCTTGCACAGCGTTCAGGAGGTAGTCAAGCTCCTGTTTCCTGAATTTGCTGGCGTACTTGAACACGTCAGTATCTATCGTAATCGTATCCCGTTCTGGACCAGAGAACCGGTCCTCCTGAGAGGCCGGACCTCTTCGTGAAGACCTTGAGGCATGCGAGGAATCTGGAGGTCTTCCACTGCCTTCGTTTCTACTGTAGTATTGTGAAACTGTTGGAGGGTCAGAGGAAGAAGGCGGCGTCGACTCCAGAAGCTGCTCCAAACGGACCTTTACAGCTTTGAGGTCCTGAAAAGAACCATCAACTCGAAACCGACCTTGTTTCAGATCCGTCAACTGGAAGCCATGCGAGTGGAGAAGCTCCAGAACCTTCTCCTTGTCCTGGAAACGGTTCACATCCGCAGTGGCTTGGACTCTGAAATCCATCTAGGCAGAACGGAGACACGATTAAAGCATCATATTTGGTAGAAGATGAGAGACGAATCAATTTATGAGGACATGAAATCCTCCAACATCTCAGAACATCTGTGAGTTGAGGCCTGTTGCAACAAGGAAAGCAAACCAAGTAATTGCCCAGGGCCCCGAGCATCCCGGGGGCCCCCAGACTACAGCTGACCTGGTTATAAACAGCATCTAATGACAAACAGTATGAGCGCCAATGTTCCCTCAAAGCTGCGTGCTTCAAAACTCTCA